TTAAAGCACATGGGCACATGTTTACAGGCTGTTGCTTTACCAGAAAATTTGGCAGCGATGGACCGGGAAATAGTTGAAGCAATCGATTTAAATTTTACAAGAAATTGTTTCTACCGCTGCTATGAAATGGAAGCACAGAAAACGAAAATTAACTGATTGTAGAATTTACGTGTTATATTGATACAATTTTCATTTCACAAATTAAAAAGCACATTATTGCTTTACATATGTGTTTTATTTTGGTGCGAATTTTTTGTTGGGGAGTGAGCGAAATTCAGGTCACTTCAGAACAATGATAAATGTGGAAACTCTTTTCATATTTATTAGCCATATACTAAAAGAAACAATTTATTATCTCAGAAGCCTACTTTATGATGAGAGAATTGTACCAAAAAGGCGTAACCTTGGTATCGATATAGAAAATAAACCGTTTTTACCCTTACATTAGCTTTAATTCTAAAATTAAGGAAAAATTGAAACTAACTAAAGGCTTTAGAGATCAGCAACTAAACTGATGCTGCCCTGATTCAGGTCTAAAGGTCATCGTCGGTTGGAGTTGCTGGAAGGAAGATACTGGATATGAAAGGACCCCTGAAGAAGTTCGCCGTTGGTGCTAAAGAAACTTTAGGCCTTTAGATCCAAATCAGAACAACATCAGCTAAGGCAATAGTATAAAATTATGTACCGAGCGGCATGGCCTAGAGGTCTAGACCATTGCTTAGCATTCGGGAGGACGCGGGATCGATTCCGGGTCCGTCTGCCTTGGTCCAAGTTTTTCTGTGGTTTCCTTGGATCACTTAGGCGAATGCTGAGGCAGTAATATTCCACAGATAATCTTTCACTCTCTTCTGTCTTCATTTCGTCCGTCTCATCTTTCTCACCCGAACCACCACCCACCCATTCCCACGATTCCTGAAAGCAGGCTGAAGAGGGCCTTCCGCCCTACCTTCCGGCATAGCTCGGAGGGACTGCCCGCCCACCAGCATTACTGGCTGGTGGGAATGAAACACCCAAAAGTTTTTTTTTTTTTTTCGTTAGGACTTATAATTTATTTCGATCGCAGTTTCTTCATTTGCAGGTACTGAAATATTACATGCAGTAGCTGAAGTAGTCTAAGTACAGAATTGTTAAAAATCGGCAAGCAAACTGGTTGAAATGTTTAATTAGACGCCACATAACAGTAACAAATAAATTCAGGCATTCTATCCTTTCCACGGAATTGCTAATGAATTTGACTTGATTGCGCATTTAATATGTGCGGAGTAGCCATCTACTACTTGGTATGAATATTGCTTAATTAGGTTACTAGACTAGAAATAAGTTTCTAATGTACTTAAAGGTATCAGAATGAGCATGCCAACCTTCGTAAGAATAAGAATTTGTAATCTAGGAAAGTCGCCTAGATAACGACACGACTTTTTCTTAAAATGGATTCTTCTTGCTTTAGGCTCCACTTCACCTAATGAATCTATCAATACAAATTGATTAGAGTTTCTTGAGAAAGGCTTTTGTTTTGCTTTATTTATTTTCAGTGCTATTAATTAATCATTTGCGTTTCCACATTCTACCTACTTGAAGCTGTTTTCGGTTTTCACAATTTCTATAAGTAATTGGAAACTTGTTTCATTAACATTATTTGTTGAAATATTCAATAGATGAATAATAGAGCGTATAAGTTCCCACAAAGTGATTGGCATTACGAACTAAAGAAATTTCGTGCGACCAATATAATAATAAACAAATTTATTGTTGTCTTTGTTATTGTTACTGTTTTGTTTTCTTGTTCTTTTTGTCACTTTGTTCTCGTTTGTATGTTTCACTCCTTGTGCCTTTTTGTTACTTGTGTATTTGTTGTTATTGTTATTAATTGTTATTTGTTAATGTTAGTGTTTTCTTGATATTTGATTATATTAGTAACACCAAAAGACACTAAACTAGTATTATATCGAAAGTCTTAGAATGAGTAGGTGACGGCATTATGGAAGTCAAGGTTAATATCTCGATTAATATGCTCGCCTCCGACTTGATTGCAAATTATGTACCTTTAGCTAAATTAATCAATCAAAAATTAAATTTAAATTTTTTCCATATTCCTGTAAATAAAAGGAATGCACGGCAACGAATACGCTCACGAAGTAACTTAATGACACTTAAGGGTAACATAAGATAGGTTTAATTAGGTTGGGTTACAGTAAGAAACGAAAACACTGTATTTGTTTGCTTAATGTAATGTTAACTCCAAACAAAAAAAATTAAAATTTTATGTCTGATTGATTCATTCAGCTGTGGGTTGTTTTAAACTTACTGAAAAATGTTTTAGATTAGGTTACTTTAGATTACGATAGTAAGACAACGCACCCGAAAAAAAAATTGCCTAAGGTTAGGTTAGGTTAAAATAAGATAGGTTAGAGGGATTACTTTTTGTGTATGTGCTTTCGAAGCTCAAGAACTATGCAAAGATATGGTTTCCACGTTAAACACGTACATACACAAGCACATAGTGATTGCACAACATTTAAACACCAATTGAGACATTTACCAAAGTCAATAAACAATAGGCGGGATAGGTTGTTGGCACACCTGCTCAGATGTATAAAGGACTAGTGGGAGACTTACTAGACGTTAAGGCAGGACTTAACAAGAGGTTGAGTATAGGAAACTGTGAAGGTACGTGTCCAACCAGTCTTTGGACCAAAAGCCTTATGATGATGATTCGGCTGAGATGGTTTCAGTAATAACAATAGTGAACTAGGATATAAAGTCAGATTTTTGTTGTTACGGATACTTAAAACGGTGTTGCTATTTCTGATAGTTTCGCCTATCGACACGGTGGTGGGCTCAACGAAAAACTGGAAATTTATTTTGTTAGCGTTTGTTAGAATTACCATACGGACTGCACAGCTTGTGCAAAATGTATTTTCGAAATTATTCAGTTCGCATTGCAATTTTGTACTACACTAACACTCCAGCGTTACGATGTATCATATATTTAGTCCGTTAGGTGACGCTAAAGCCGAAATATACTGTACGAGTGTACATTTTTAAGTTCGCGAAAAGAGACATTAGATTTGTTATTAAGGGTAAATGCTAAGTTTTAAGGAGTTAATTGATTTATTATTAGTATAACCAAGAGTTATCGCTATTGAACCATTAGTCTTTGTACTATCGCCGACCAAGTAACTCAAACGAGGAAAAAATGTGAAATATGGAGAAAATGGAGTACTTTGCTACTATAAAGTTCCTTATCAACAAGTGAAGCTCTCTTCAAATCATACTAGAAGAAATGAAATTCGTTTATGGGAATTCTTGCCTAGGTAAAACCAAGGTTTACAAATGACACTGTTTCGTTAAACAAGACAGGAATTCACTTGAAGACGACCCACGGCTAGGACGACTAATAGACGTGACCATTCAAAAATTTTAAATATTTAGTACATATTGAAAGATGCTCGATTAAAGAAAAACAGCTCGCAGAAATTATTGGAGTATACCGTCGCAAAAACAACAATGTGGAGTGTTCTCGCGCGCTTTTGAACCTTTCTAGGGGCAAAACTTGGGTTCATTATTATGAACTTAACTCTAAGTATTGGTCCATTCAGTGACATGAAAGGGTAATAACACCACCCAAGAAGTTTAAAGGAATCCTGTTTATCAATTATAAAAACAAAGGCGTTTCTATAAAAGGAGAATACTACTCTGTAATCCTGGAGCAGTTAAAGGAAACCATTAAAGAGAAAAGAAATGGAAAATTGACAAATGGTGTCCTGCTTCTGCACAACAATGCGCTCGTTTACAAGAGTCGAGTTGCTTCTAAATCACCCACCTTACAGTCCTGACCTAGCTCCCAGCGATTATTATTTACTCCTAAAAATTAAAAAAACCTTCGAGGGAAGAAATTTTCAAGCGATGTAGAGGTGAAGGACACAGTTTCAGCCTATTTTTTAGACATAGATAAAACCTTTTTTTAACTGAAGATATACATAAACTAATCGAGAGATCTGAAAGATGTATTAGGGTAGCATTATCTGACATTCCCCGAACTTAAATCCGCTACCTTGTATTCCAAAGGTATTGGCATCTTGTAGGATCGTCTGTCGTGAGGAAGCAAGGTGTAATGAGAGCAGGTAGTGTTAGTCAAGTCAGTACAGATCATGTCTCGGCAGCGATTTAGTCACAATTGCCGACCGAGCGTTAGGACTTACCGAGCGGCATGGCCTAGAGGTCTAGACCATTGCTTAGCATTCGGGAGGACGCCAGTTCGATTCCGGGTCCGTCTGCCTTGGTCCAAGTTTTTCTGTGGTTTCCTTGGATCACTTAGGCGAATGCTGAGGCAGTAATATTCCACAGATAATCTTTCACTCTCTTCTGTCTTCATTTCGTCCGTCTCATCTTTCTCACCCGAACCACCACCCACCCATTCCCACGATTCCTGAAAGCAGGCTGAAGAGGGCCTTCCGCCCTACCTTCCGGCATAGCTCGGAGGGACTGCCCGCCCACCAGCATTACTGGCTGGTGGGAATGAAACACCCAAAAGTTTTTTTTTTTTTTTCGTTAGGACTTATAATTTATTTCGATCGCAGTTTCTTCATTTGCAGGTACTGAAATATTACATGCAGTACCTAGCTGAAGTAGTCTAAGTACAGAATTGTTAAAAATCGGCAAGCAAACTGGTTGAAATGTTTAATTAGACGCCACATAACAGTAACAAATAAATTCAGGCATTCTATCCTTGCCACGGAATTGCTAATGAATTTGACTTGATTGCGCATTTAATATGTGCGGAGTAGCCATCTACTACTTGGAATGAATATTGTCACAATAATGCGTTTTAGAAAATACCACAAATGGCGCAGCAAACGCCATCTGTAGCACGATGCTACATTTTAGGATTGTCACAATAATTTTACACGTTTGCTTAATTAGTTTACTAGACTAGGAATAAGTTTCTAATGTACTTAAATGTATCAGAATGGGCATGCCAACCTTCGTAAGAATAAGAATTTGTAATCTAGGAAAGTCGCCTAGATAACGACACGACTTTTTCTTAAAATGGATTCTTCTTGCTTTAGGCTCCACTTCACCTAATGAATCTATCAATACAAATTGATTAGAGTTTCTTGAGAAAGGCTTTTGTTTTGCTTTATTTATTTTCAGTGCTATTAATTAATCATTTGCGTTTCCACATTCTACCTACTTGAAGCTGTTTTCGGTTTTCACAATTTCTATAAGTAATTGGAAACTTGTTTCATTAACATTATTTGTTGAAATATTCAATAGATGAATAATAGAGCGTATAAGTTCCCACAAAGTGATTGGCATTACGAACTAAAGAAATTTCGTGCGACCAATATAATAATAAACAAATTTACTATTTACTATCAAAATGAATATATTTAAAAGGTTATTATGAAACGTACACCTTGTAGGTGCTCTGTTAAAAAATCTTGTTGCAAAAAAAAATAAACAACGCATAACCGTTTTGTAATAATATATCATCAATATTCGTAATTTTACTTCAACTTTTCGCCAAAGCAATACAATAATAGACAATATAATAGAGCAAGATCCCAGAGCCGCCAGACATTACTTATTTTCTGAGTAAAAAAACGGATAAGATACACGCTAAGAATTACAGTCTATTTCAATTTGTTTGAATTGTGACCTTGAAGAAATCTCTGCGAATATAGAAAGAACACACACTAGGCGTGAGCAAGACAGAAATAGTTGGAACAAGCTTGAACGAGCAGAGCTCTCGATGGGCGGTCTTAGGAGATCGGCTAGAACTGTACAGTACTAGACGAAAATGTTTAGCAATTTCTTAAAACAAAAATGTATATAAATTGACAACAGATAACAAAGCAAAAGTTTTATAGGTGTGTAGAACGTTAATTTAATTTACTTGTTATTATTTTTGGCTAAATATGCTTTTAAATAAAGCATATTCTTAAATTTTAACGATGCAGTTTAAATAATTTTGCAATTGGCACTGTACGGTTTTGTGTAGTTCTCGCTCAATGATCGGTGGAGAAAGAAGCTCTGCGGACAAATATGATTGAATTTGGAATTATGGTACAGCGCATCCTAATAAAGGGAAGGGGTATATCTCTAACTTCTTGAAATGAACAGTAATAATCAACACCGCACGTGCTTACACCTACAGCGACATTTTAATTGTGTCTGTGGAATGTCTGGCCTATACAATTGGTCTGGCTGCTTACAAAACAAAAAGTATTGAAATACGTCCCTAAGTATCATACTTAAGAAGACTATAAGAAAATTACGATTTTTTTGTGAACTCTGGCAGTAGTAATACTTTTACATACCTTTAACACATAGTATCTGTAAATTGATTCTCGTCAAAGTACATATTAACACTATTCTATAGCACCCATTTTGTTACTCAGAACATAAGTAATATTTGGCGGCTCTGAGATCTTACACTATTAATATTGTTGTTATAACTTCTTGATTTATAAAATTACCAGTCGTGGTGAACGCTATCTTGCAATGTTTAGAAATTACCACTAATAGGGAGTTCATTGATAAAGTCCTCCTTAATTAGGACATCCACTTGTTCAACTGAACCTACATCTCAGCAGTGGATCGTAATTTTCAAACTTGCTTTTTACTAATAGGTCGGTAAGTTTCGATTGAAAATCGACTAGTCTACTAGCTGCCTTAAAATAGCGTTTCTCAAATACCTGCAGACATAGTATTAAACGCCATCTGAAGACATTTGTCATCACTACTACAAATTAGTTTTGTAAAATTACTATTCGTACTTGACTAATTCAATGAATTTGTAAAATTACACACTTTTTAGAATTCATATAAATTGTAATTCTCCAATATTTTTTTTAATAGTAACTAATTCTTCCCCCCTATTAGTCACTGTGAGCTCTCGAAACTGCTTCGAGTGGTCGAAATTCACTTTTGTGAACAATTTGTTTAATCACTTTGTGTTAAAAATTTTTTTGAAAAATTAAATTTAAGAGTTGTTTGTAAATAGATATGCAACACATCGTACACTACAGCGTAAGAAATTGCTGATACTACCTATGTAATACTACTTTGCCCTGAGATGGCAGCACTCATTTCTCTTATATATAATATAATATTTGTAAATTTACCTACACTTATTTTTAACTGTGTACACAACTAGAGTTAGACAATAATTAAAAATCGATAATCCTTCCAATTCTAGCAAGTATATAATTACTTCATCATCATCATAAGGTCACCAGTACTAAGACTGCTAATCTTCGCATTTCCCTAAAACTAGAGCATCCCACATCCTTAATGATTTGTGAACAGTAATCTAATTTAGGTCTACCTCTACTCCTTCTAACTCCTGTTCTGCCTCTTATACGTATCTGACTAGATCTTCATGCTTGAGAAGGTGTCCTACTATCCTATCCCATTTATTTCTTATTAACTTCCATAAAGTCCTTTGTTCTCATATTCTTTCTAATACATTCATTTTTCATTCTAACCTTCTCTATCCATGGTATCCTCATCATATAATTGCTTAACGCTTAAAAAAGTTTGTAAGGAAAATCTGAATTCCGCACCGGCAATCATGCGAGCTGAATTAAAAAACATTGCGGCATTAAATATTCAGCAACTTATGTATAATGGACTTACGTATTGATTTGAGTGATTTATTTTTATATTTTTTAGGAGCTCGGGTGAAACTCTAAGCAAAGAGTCTTTCAAGAAACGTCTTGATGCTGTATTAGAATACATGTTTCCGACTATTAGACCTTACGAGCTGTTAAGCGAAAAGATCAAGCTGACAGATCCCCTCATTCAAGATTTGGCTCTCAGGGAAAGATCTAATCGAGTTGGCATACTTGCGGTTAGCTATATATGCATAATCTTGCCTTCACTGTTTTCGCGTCCTTAGTTCCACATCCAACTTAGTTTTAAACAATTTAATTAAACTAAGTGCAATGAAGTCTTTACTTCCAAAACAAAAAAAGAGTAACAAGATTTAGGTTAACGCGCTAACGTAGGACAGCTTGTTTTAAAATTAAGAAGGCGCTTAGTTCTAGTAGCAAACAGCGAACCTAACCTAACAAATGTTAGTTATTCCTACATGATTATTGTTTTTTCTCTCTATCCCGATACTGTGACCGGTCCGCCGCGGGTAGGGTACGAACTCGCCAAATCTGGTCTCGAACAAGTAAACAAATAAACCTTCAAATTTGTTTATTTATTTAATCGAAGAAATTGACAGTGATTATGATCGTCAAAAGTGGTAGGACCCTTTATATTTACTTTGTGATATTAGTAACTTATTCAAATTGTTTTGGGACAAAATTCAGTGCTGAAGACTGTAAACTCTTCTCTGTATTTATTGATTTGAAGGACCACCCTTTGCAGGGAATGATCAATGTATAAATTTAAATCAACTTTATTCAATATTGTAAATGAAAGGTACATGTCAACCGATCGCACCCAACTCAAGTCAACCACTCGCGCAATCGCTCCACGTGGGTAATAAGAGGGTGACGCAGGCGCATAAAATAAAACGTGATAACAAAAAAATAAATGAAATTGTAAATTCTTTTATGAGTTCCGAACAAGCAATATGTGTCAACAAAGGAATACAGAAATGTAGACAATAAACTGTCTGAACATGACATTTATCACTAGTCCAGGCGTAGAGTAGTAGTTTGTTTTTTGTTTTCTCGGACATTGTCCGGTTTACAGTACTTCTTTTTTTTGTGGAGCATTATTCCTATTGTAAGGTGGGTGAAGAACAGTCACTGTGAGTGCAGTGTCTCTATTTTTATGACCGTTCGGAATAACAAAAGTACTTACATGTACTTCCTCCTCTCTAACCATGAGTTCTTCAGTAGAAAGTTTAAAATTGTAAATTGCTAACAAACTAAACACTCCAGTTAAAAAGGTAAAGCCTTGAGATACCAGCAACAGGTACCCAGATCAGATACTTTCAATTGAAAGGATAGATACCGCCGTTATTTATACGGTAGCTATATATTCACCTGAAGTAATCAAAGTGCAAACGAGAGGGTATTTTTACCAAACTCCTGCCGGCTAAACCTTCAGATCAGTTTGGTTGCATCTACTTTTCTGAATTTTGTAGTAAATATACCAAATTTGTTAGGAGCCTCTGCAAATCAACTGTAAAAGCTATTCAAGCTATAAGCTATGTCGTTCAACTACCCAAACCCAAGTACTGTACAGGAATGAATGAATAATATCTACAGTTTTATGTAGTCAAAAATGGACTGAAATAGAAAAACCTAAACTAGTGGCTCCATATAAAAAATAGCAAGAATAACGATTATGTTGCATGATTTTGAGATGAGGATTGTCGTTATCTTACATATTGGTAGAGAATATGTATATACATTGACCAGAAAAATAAATAAACCATCAGCAAATTGTTTTAAATCTTGTAATTCACACATTATTCTGAACTAGGGCACAACAAGGGATCACCAAACATCTGATGGTGTCGACGGAACCCTGAAGAACCATAACAAAACTGTAGCAGAAATTAATAGACTTGAATTTTTTGAAACTTTAATCTTTTAGAGAAGATTTTGTCTTTTGTAGAAACTTCATCCCTATATTTTACCAATGAAGGATCTTTCGAAAACAATCCACGGCATTCTTGCATTCCATGGAATACAAAACATACGTCAGTTTGTAATTTTTAAAAAAGCAGTTTTATATGCATTGGCTATAATGGAATGATGACCATTTTTGAGTTCTCGTAGCCTAGTATTTAACGGTCTTTTTGTTTAACCTATATAGTCACAGTTGTTGCATGGAATCTTGTAAATAACGTTAATTTTGGCTAATATGTTAGTTTCTGTTTTATGCCTAGTAAGTTTCCATTACAACTATTATTTAGGTATAAATATTTTAGCTTTATAAAGCCACCCAACAAGAGGCGAAATGTGGGTATTGACCCTATAATTCAATAAAGAAATTACTACCCTCTTTGTAGTATAGTCATTTGGTAGTTATGCCTGGAAAGTTTTCCGGGAGTTTTGAAAATTGGTAATTTTATAGATTTTGAGGTGCTCATTCCGAATTTCAACTTTGCCACCTCGTATATTTGCCGCTCGCACCGCCATATTGGAAAAATGGCGCCTAAATGCAGTTTTTTGGCAATATCTCCTTTCCAACTCATTTTACGATAAAAACAGTTATATACAAAATGAAACTAGGGATAATTGCCTACTATTTTTGTATCTACCTTTTTTCCATAAAGTCAATAGTTTTGGCGTACGAGCGCCGCAAAATGTACTCCAACGCGTGTTTTGGTAGAGCTCAATAGAAATATTTAGTCTGAATCATCAGTAAAGTTCTGAATATATGCACTAAAAAATAGCAAATATATGCATGCAAATATGCTTTAAAAATCGTCAAAATATGCATTATTAATTTTAAATAAAACACAAAGAAATTCTGTTAACACTTGTATTTGTTTAAATTGCAATAGCATAACTTACAAAAAAACCAACTAACGTTATCTTCAGACATACTATAACAATATAAAACTAAATGTTTTTCTAAATCATCCATATTAAAATTATGTCGTCTATTTGATAAAAAGTGTTGGGATACCACGTTAAAAAAAAACGCGCCGCTTACTTTACCTCAAGGTGGTGTGGAAATGAGATTTTTGGCCAAAATGCGTGTTGGAGTACACTTTGCGGCGCTTGTACGCTTAAACTATTAACTTTATGAAAAAAAGGTAGATACATAAATTGTAGGTAATTGTCTCTAGTTTCATTTTGTATATAACTGTTTTTATCGTAAAATGAGTTGGAAAGGAGATATTGTCAAAAAACTGCTTTTTGGCGCCAATTTTCCAATATGGCGGCGCGAGCGGCAAAAATACGAGGTGGCGAAGTCGAAATTCGGAAAGAGCACATCAAAATCTATAAAATTACCAATTTTCAAAACACCCGGAAAACTTTCCAGGTAACCACTATTTTTCAAACCAAAAATACTATTGGCCTTGAATCTCTTTTCATATTACATGTATTATTTCTAAAGGTAAACTTTGACATAACTCAAGCAGGATTTTACTAGAATAAGTCGAGAAACCTAAATGTGAATATATCTATGTATATTCATGGATGTATTCTGCATGCTGTGGTTTTGTTCAAATTGATTGTACACTAATTGTGAAACATACAATAGGATCGAATGGAAATGGGCTATTGTTGCCCATTGAAGAACCAATCTATACACCTCCGTATGGATTTCCGTAATTAAGAAATACAATTGAATTCCGAGCGGAATTATTCGCCACATCATAAGATATTTGTTACAACTTCCTATCTTTTTAAGAATATAACCAATTTACCGACCAAAATTGTTTAGTTTATTTATCAGATTGTAGGTTGTTATTATTTTTACTAATCTGGATTTCATTATAGTCTTTGAAATTAAAGCTACTCTATATCAAATGAAAATTAAAGAAATGAAGATAAATAAAGAATTCAATTAAATAAAACAAATAGGTACTAACAACGATAACAATTTAATTAAAAACAACTGTTAACAACAAACTGGTAGGAGATGAATTATAAACAGGTAGTAATTAACCGAGATCGAAATCATAAGTGAAGTTATTTTAGAAAAATGAAATAGGAAGACAGTTTAGAGGAGAGAAAATTATTGAGATTAAGGTAGGGAACCAGCTGAAAGATAGTACAGTTGTAAATGACTCAAGATAAGAAATACTAGGAAATGGAATTTACAAATTAAATTGTAAAACAACCTGACAAGCTGTAGGACCCATGAGTTTACTTGCTTGCTTCAGTGATTTGATATTACGGTATTGCGGAATATTAACAATCGTAACCATATATATATATATACATATGTATATTGTATATTATGTATAATCCAATATACTTATCACACCAACAGCGAAAAGCGGTAGGACGCAACTTGAGAAAACCGATTCACACGCAATAAAAATATTGCGGTTTCTATAAAATTCGCTCGTGTTTGATTTATATTATCGATTCCCTATTACAGTGTAAGAAAGATGTTTCCAATTTCATCTTCGTGGTGTGCTAACAAACCCATCTATGGAATAAAGAGGCGGAACTCGGTTACTGTGATGTCCCACACATAGCGCATTATTTAAAATCAGCAGGATGAGTTAAAGCAAAGCGAATTTCGTGAAGATTATTATTTACAGCCCTCTAAAGCATAATTCATTACCGTAATTTAAAAATTATCACAGGATTTAAACTAAATAATTTTGCAATTGTAATTTTACAATATATATGTAGCCCAGTAATATTAGGTTTTCATGTTCTAAAAACTTAGTAACTAATTTTTTTTAGTGTTTTGAAAAAAATGTTAAGAGTGGAACTCGAAATCACTATTGCTTGAAAAATTATTCATGGTTAAAGTTCATAGAAAACGGTTTTTTGTGAATATTGCGCTTTCTATGGCTCAGAGGTCAATGAAGGTCATTACAAAAATGAAACAGGAATTCCCCAAAAAAATGATCTCCAATTTTTTACATGCAACGAATAGTTTAGCAAAAAATTTACTGCAAATTTTCCGTGCAGGGCCTATACCTACCCCTCATTACCACCAATAACTGAACGAATTAGTCAATATCTGGATGACTTATAGCATGAAAATAAACATTTTTGAAGGTAGACGAGTACAATATTTATTGTGTTAGATATAGTGTATGGTATACGGTTATTAAACGTATACTATATATAGGGCGTTTTTGATTAACACAAAAAAAAATGCAAGAAAACTAGAACAGCATTAAAAACTTTAAACACTTTATAACAGACATAGACTTTATTCTTAATCTAATAGAAAAATATTCAA